ATTTCTTTAAGGGAATTTTTCATTTCCTCTTTAAGAGCCTCAGTCATCTTCCTATAGTTATTTTCAAGGAAGTTCTGCTTCATCTGCATTGGAATGTTCAGGTCTTTCTGGTGAAGAACCACTAGTGGTGGCTCCATGTTACTCTTTATGTTGCTCAATGTATCCTTACACTGCCTTCTACACACCTTTTCCTCCCACTGGTACAGCTGGGGCCTATGCCTCTGAGGGTTTCTCCTCCTCCAGTGGGTGCAGCTGGGGCCTATGCCTCTGGTGGCCCCTCCTCCTTCAGGTACAGCTGGGGCCTGTGACTCTGGTGGCCCCTCTTCATCCAGGTGCTGGTGGGGTTGTGGCTCCCTTTGTTGCTGATGCAGTAGGGGGATGGTTGGATGGGGGATGGGGAGAATGCTGCTGCCTAGTCACTGTGGCTGTCATAGATGGGTTGGGGCACAGGATATGCCTCTGTGAGGTAGAACCTAGAGATCAGGGCTGACCTGATGTGAGTGCAGATGCTCACCTCTCCCTCCACGTGTAGGTGGGGTGTCCTAATTGGCTAATTTAAATTAAACCATTTGGGTGTACTTTATTATGTAATATATTACAAATAGTATCTACTTAAGTGTGTCATAAAGGAAAATATATAAATAACAAAAATATATCAGGAATACAGGCTAACAATAGACAGGGTAGCATATATAAATAATTATACTAATTAACAATTATGAGCTCTGACAGAAATTCAAAGATTATATGACAGAAACAAGGAAGAAGCATGTATCTCAAAGACAGAAAGCTTAATCTAAACACTGAGAATGGTGTAGCAAAGGTGTTAGACAGAAAACAAAGTTTGTTGTGTGGTGGTAAGGAATAGAGAATAAGTCAGTTAGCTTCAGTAGGAACTGATCACAGTGGGGCCCACTCATAAAACGGAAAGATCTGGTGACAGATCTGTATGGAAGAGAAGATATTATTTCTTCAAAGTCTGGGAGCTCAACTTATCCCAACTCTTTAGAATAAATTAGGGAGATAATTCTGGAAGGAAAGACCGGGCCTGTTTCTTGAGACAGAAGGACAAAAATCTTAATTCCCAGGTCATGTCCCTCAAAGGAAGGGTGATAATGTGTCCACAGAAGACTCAAAGTGTTGTAATTTATAAAAAAAAAAAAAGGGGGGGATGAGATTTTTAACTAGGGGAAAGGGAATGGGGAAAGGAGGGGAGAAAGAAGACTGGGCTCTGGAAACAGGAGCAGCAGAAGAGAAGAGAGAGGCAGGGTGGAAAATAGAGAGACAGAGAGTCAGGCAGTGAAGCAGAGAGAGAGAAAAGAGAGATGGAAGGTGGGCAGGACCCTTTTAAAAGGGAACACAGTGAGTGTGCTCAAGTGATTCTCTTAGTGGCTACAGCTAAGGATGTACCCTGTCAGAACCCCAAGGACAGACCTGGTGCCTGAATACTAATATTCCTCCCTTTTTATTTCTTACAAAAATATGAGGAGTTAGAAATGGGTAGCAGGTGAAGTGGGGATGAGGATGCCATGTTCTCAAGACTACTTCCTGCTGACCTGGGGGGCCCTGTTCATTTTGGGGGTCATGGGAAAGCTGGGGCACTGTCCATGTTCTGAAGTAGCTGGCTATTTCATTTTACTGTCCAGTCTCTGTTGAACCATCAGGTGTCACATGGACCTGGCAAAATGTCGTTCTTGGTGGATCCAAATCAACTCCCTAAGGCTTAAAGCACCTGATCCTTTCCCATTACCACAGCATCACCTGGACATGTTTGGTAGCCTTGCCCTCCAGCTCTATGACCAACAGCTGGTAGTCCTGCAACAATACCTGATGATTAGGAATGGTCAGTGGGTCTCAAAAAAAAAAAAAAAAAAAACCAATGGGAGCAAGGAGAAATAAACAATGACACAGCTCCCATGAGTGAGGCAACAGAAGTAAGACCCAAAGGTCTGCAATTCCTATTGTTCCAAGAATTCAAAGAGGGTCAATTTCAAGACAGGCACAGGCCATCTAGTGAGTTGTTATGCAAAGGTCTCTGAGCCCAAGAGAGACACAGTTGCCTGGTACAAGAACTTCAAGAAAAGCCGGAAGGTGAGAAGACCGTGCTGAAGAAATGAAGCCTCAAATCCAGGGAAATAATGGTCAGAGGTGAGTAGCCCCTCCAGAAACCTAATTGCCAATACTAAATGAAAGGCAAAACTGCCAGTGAACGAGATAGCAGATTTGTTGCAGGTAGATGAGAGCGGATCTATTGAGAGTGAAGCGTATGGGTAGGGTCCCAGCATGAAGTGATTACTAAGTGCTGGGAAGAAGATGTTTGGTAGGCTTTTCACCCATGAGTGAGACAGAACGAATTCCATTGGCTTTTTACCAAGCAAGGATCGTGAGAAAGGCACAAACCACCTGGTCACTCGTCAATCAAGGGGCAGAGGCCAAGAGTGTCCAGGAAATAAGACAGGCACAGGCGATCTAGCGAGTCATCACACGGAGGGTAGGGGATGAGAACTCTGAGTCCAAAAGAGATTGGTTGCCTGGAACCAGGGCATAATGAGGCCAAAAGGCACAAAATCACACTGGAGAGATGAGTCACCACTTGGGAAGTAACCAGACGTGGGGAAGACGAAGTGACTCACCGACCATGCCGGTTTTGGATGGAGGGATCCAGCCATCCAGAGAAGCAAAGCTGTCAAAAATGGACCGGGTTTCCAGGATCCCGTTGTGCCTCACAGTGCTTGCAGGAAGATACATCATTAGGGCCTTTCTGGGCCAGGGAACCAATGATTGATTGAATATATATATATATATGAATGAGAGAAAAAGAGATAATGTGGCAGAGCTTACAAGGAAGGGGGAAGGGTTTTTCTAATTAGGGAAAAGGGAATGGGGAATCAGGGGAGGGGAGGCTGGCCTCTGGAGACAGGAGCACCAGAAGACAAGGGGGGAGACAAAGAAATAGGCAGAGAAATAGAGAGAAAAACAGATGGTCAGAAACAGAAAGAAAGATGGGAGATGGACAGGACCCTTTTAAAAGGGAACATAGTGAATGGGCACAGGTGATGCTCGTAGGGGTCACAATGGAGGATGCACCCTGCCAGAACCCCAGAGACAGAACAATAAAGATGCCTGAATGCTAACACAAAGAACAGTTTCTGAGGTAGGCATATCTCCTTACAAAGGACCACCTGACACTGAGGATAGTAGTTCCACTCACGGTTGAAACTTTCAAAATGTCCTGCTTTTTGAAAGGGCTCCAGGGAGGGGACAGCCAAGAGAGACATAGCACATAGACCAGAGGTGACAGATAAAGATATCAAAAAGGAAGACTCATGAATCTGGTATCACAGGCAAATCTTCAGATAGATGTGGTAAACATCTCAGGAGGGCTGAGCACAAGGAAGGGAAGGAATGAGAATTGCCAGCAAGAGCAGGGATTTCATTGGACTTAAACAGTGTTACCTTGGCTAGAAATGACAGTCCCCAACCTTAACACAATTGTTCTCTACGGGTCTAAAAGCCACTCCCGGGTCACTCAGCCCTAAGAACAGTGGAGAGAGCACACCAGAAACCAAGTGTGCATCCCTGAAAAAGTAGCCCTACCAGCAAGCCAATACTGCTACAACTGTTAGAGGATGTCCCAGACCACATGATATTAGCTCTGCTGAGAAACCCAAGAGCTGGAAAAGAGCAGATGCAACCCAAGACTAAGGGTGATCTGGTCTGAAATCAAGCCCTGGAGCAAGGACCCCTTCCAGTGATGCTGAGACTACCTATCCAGAAATGTTTAGGAATCGAAGTCAATGCAGGACAAGCATGAGGGTCCAGAGGAATAAGTACAAGAATGGGCCCTGCTACCTACACAGTCCTCTAACAGGGCTCCAATGTAGTTGGTTGGACACATGCATAGTTATAACAGCTGGGAAATAATGAATGAGTCTATAGTTATAAAGTATTCTGTTGTGAGGAAAAAGAAAGCTGCTGGATAGTGCAGAATATGAAAATGGTCTACAACAAAGGGCAATGGGCTGCTGGGGTATCCATTTGAGAGAAGTCCTTTTATGATTAGGGTCAGTACCTTGGAGTACAGTTTCTTGGCACGTGATCCACACCACACCATGTAAAGAAAGACAATCCTGATGGACTGACATACAATTCTGGGATTAGCATGAGTTATTATGAATGTAATTTCTATGTGTGCAATCTCAACCATGCAAGTTGGGGTCATGTAAACTAGGGACATGTAAATGAGTGTAGTCCTAGCAGTTCAAAGGCTTCAGTCACTGGGTATCAGGAAGCTTCTCTGTGGTTACAGTATCATGTGCCTAGTAGTTCTGAGTTCCTGGACCACGTTGATGAAAATTCCTAAAGGGGATCAGCCTCCATTTTCTAGTCTCTTATTAACAACCTTCCATCCACAGAGCTATGTGAACACTTCCTATCCCACCTCAATCACTCACATCCCCTGCAGGGATACCACACTGCTCATCTGTGATGCATTCTTTCCCTGGGTGGGGGAGACATGTGTCAGCCAGGGGCATCCTATAAATGCAGGGCCTGCTCCACACTGCCAAACGCTGTGTGACTCCTCACCTTCGGTAAGTGAGCTCAGTTTCCCTAGGCAGGGGGCTGCTGGCCTGTTTCTTTTTCCCTCCTCTGCCTGTCTTTCTTCCACACCATTCTACTGGATCCCCCTTTCCTTGCCTTGGCAGCTTTGTAGCTTCCTTCAACTTTGTGAACGTTTCTTGCTATAAAATTCTTCAATTTTGTTATTCTCTACATTGTCTAAAATGCATCTCACATACGTGTGTGACAGGATGGTACCCCACTGAATGGCACCCTGTCCTTCCTCTTATGGTGTATGTCCCTGCCTTTCTTGCCCGATAGAGGCCATAAAGGAGATCAAGGATGCTTGATAACCCATTCCTTTACATGCCCATTTGCTTCTCCAGGATTCCAATAGCCTGCAAGAAAGACAGCCCTCAATGTCACAGATGGAACAAGGCATGGAGACCATCATCAAAACCTTCCACCAACACGCTGGGAAAGAGGGAGACCCAGACACCCTGAGCAAGAAGGAATTCAAACAGCTGGTGAATAAGGACATGCCAAACTCCTTCAAGGTAAGGCCTGATTAGTGAGGGAGGAGGGTACAGCCTGCAACAGTCAGGAAGAAAATTCCAGCACCTTCCACACAGCACTGCAAGGGCTCAGTCATTGGAGGTGGACAAATGTAGACAGTAACAGTCAGGAACTGAGCACATGTAATGTGTGATGCACTATTGTGGGAAAACACATGTAGAGGAGAACCTGAAACCGATGATGTGATGATAACATTAAGAACACAGACAAAGCCAACATCCTGGGAATGTGGAGCAGGATAAAATAGAGTCCTAGGGTTGGTCCATGCCAGGTTCAACAGAGTAAAGCAGGGAAACCTCGCTCTTTGAGGTGGTGACATTTGAGCTTAGATGTTATCCCTGGTAATGAAGACACACAAGGACAGCTCTTGACTGGAAACTGAGGGACACTAAGTTTCAGGTGGGGACTCAGTAGACCTGAGGGTCTACGGTGGACAATGCATGAACCAAAAGCATGTGGAGAACACCCAGCACGGCACTGGCATGCAGAAAGCACTGTCAAGTATCAATAAATCCATCTGCTCAAAGATGCGTAGTTGCTTCTAGGTACGGGGCTTCATTCAAAGGCCTTTGTGTTCTCTTTCCAAATCCAGGCAGGAAGGAAGCAAATAACATGTGCCATGGGTCCCAGTGTCAGTTGATTATAATGTGTAGCCCTGTAGACCAGTCAGCAGCCCTCTTAGAGTGCCTGTTAAAGTGGAGAAAAGCTACTGTGGGAGATATCAGGGACAAAGAGAGCTCCCCGAAGTGAGGACCTCAGGTGAACAAGGTGCTACTTCCAGGAAGACAGGGGGTACACAAGAGCCTCGCTAGACAAGTCTCCCCCACCCCACCCCCGTGTGATCCCTCCATTACTCTATCAACTCTCTCAACATGCATGGCCAAAGCACTGGAATAGAGCAGGATGCACTGGCCTCCAAGATGGGCTCACAGTGTTATGGGAGGGTACTTAGCCAAGATGTTCCAGCCAGTGGGTGGAAGAACTGAAGCTGGCTGGTGCTCTCTGCTACTCCTGGATCCTCCCACTTCATATAAGTTATCACAGCCTTTGAGGTAGGCAGAGCACCTACCATTCTCTACCCCTTCAAGATCCAATAAGGCCTGTCTTCCTGAGTGCCTCCCCTCTAAGAAGAGGGAGGTGCAGATTCCTCCACATCAGATGTTAATGTGTATGACTTCCACAACCTATAAAAACTACCTTTCAGGAGACCAGATTCCTAAGATCCTCTTCACAGCAGACTTCATTATCACTTGTTCTAGTGAACAACAAAGAATATTTCTAGACCCACATATAATTCTCTGACTTTTTCCGTTAACAGTCCTAGTGTCAAAGGTAGAGGTCTGTCTCAGGAACAAACTGGAAAGTGTTTAGCATATGTCCAGCATTTCCTTCATCATGAACACTCAGTCCATCAATTCTATGTTTGAATTTATTGCCTAGGTTTGCATTCTGATCACTCACAGTGCTTCCTAGTTTACTTCTGTGCCCACGACCAGCACTAATAGCCATCACTCTTCTACCCACAGAAAGAAAAGAAGGATGAAAAAGCCATGAACCGCATGATGGAGGATCTGGACAGAAATGAAGATGGTGCTGTGGATTTTGATGAATTTTTAACCCTGTTAGTTAAGGTATTGATTAAGGACCACAAGGAGATTCACAAGAATGAGTCCTCACGTGACTATGGCAATGGTCGCAGCCCTGGGCCAAGCCTCGGAGAGGGTGACCATCGCGACTGTCCTAACAAGTAATCAGAAGGCCAAGTCGGTACCTGCCCAAACAAAGCTATAGAGAATGCTGTATCATATATATCTTTGGTTGTAGAACTGTGGGATTGGGGAACAATAAAGTCTCTATGTAAGTGCCCTCCACAATGCTTCTGATTCCTGGACTGCTCTTGCTCATAGCTCAAGCCCCTCCCCTGCCATATCATCATAATGAAATAACCACTAGCAACTTGTCTGTCTGCTCTGAACTCCTAGGAGTTACCTGTGATAATGTGACCATCTTGTACTTCTGCCCCATATTTGAGTGGGAATTCCCATGATTAGCCTGTCCATGTGACCCTTGTCACTGCAGAAACAAAAGCAGCTGGTCTCCACTCAACATGCCAGCCATTTCCAACCCAACCAGCCCCAGCCTGTCTTCACTGATGACTGTCCACAAATTCTTCTAATAGAACCCCACTCCTATAAAAGTTTTACTGAAATGGACGCAGGGCAATGTGTGGAAGAATACTTGAACCCTAGCAGTAGGAGCAACGGAGTGTGAGTACCTAAAAACCCATTTAGGACTCAATACTGCCTTCTGTGTAAACTTACAATTGTAAGTTGTTAGAGTACAGTATCCTTATCTGTAAAGGAAGGTAGTGATGTTTTCCCTCTGATCAACCCTGCAGAACAGGGAATGGTGCTAACTGGGCAATATCTGTGAAGATCTTTGTAAACTGTGACTGCGGTGGGGGGGGGGGCTCCCAAAGGAGGCTGGATTTGTTACATGGCCTCCTGTGCTTCCTTTGAGGAGCTTCTGGGGTGAGGGACCCTCAAGTCAGTGGCTCACAACTGTCCCCACTTATCACTGGAGAACCCTGGGTTTTGGTTGTCTTAAAGATGAGAGGTAGGAGAACTTTCTCTACCATGTTCCCATTTTCCCCCAGTGGGGGGGGGGTCTAGGTTTTGAGGAGAGAGGATATCTAAACAATGAACACTTCCATGCCCAGAACACCAGAGGGCTCTGTGCTGGCCCAAACAACAGCCAAGGGCTTGGTTGGTTTCTTCCTCCTTACCTGGCAGTTCCCACCTTCAGCCTCCCAGCTCTGTCCCTCCTCTAACATCACCTCCTCCTAACTTTGTTCTCCCTAGTTTTAGACTCTAAAATTTTACCCTCTAAAATTTAGAGGGTACTCTTCCATGGGGTTGGAGCACTGAGGCTTTAGTTTCTCAAAAAGGAAGGAACAACAGGAATCATCAACAAAGATCAATCACCAAGATACAGCTTTTAAGGCTGACTCTAAGTAGAGTCACTAAAGGAACTCATGAAACTAGAGCAGGGCTGAGAATACCAGGCTGTGAAAAAGTCCAGGTTCCTTCTCCTTGGTAAGTAGCCATATTGACTTAACTCCTTCCATGTGCAGTCCTCAAGAAGCCCAACCATCAGGGGCCAGAGGGATCTGTGGACCATGTCCCTGACATCAGGAATGTCATGTGAGTGGAGATGGGTCTGCTCCACTTCTCTGAGGGCTGTGGTGCCAGGTGTGTGTTAATTACTGTCCCCACTTTCTTCTCACACACTGGAATTCTGTCAAAGACATAAAATTATAATCTCAGGGAATAGTTCACTATGTGTCCTCATTAGAACCTCAGACCTGTAGCCACCATGTTCATTCATGATCCTTACCTCCCAAATATTACACTGCTTCCTTGAAAGTTCTTGACCTTTGGTTTCATCCCTACATTGAAACGTATTTCTCTAGAATAGCAGAACGTAAAGAATGATTGTGTATGTATATGACTGTGTATGTGTGTGTGGAGAGAGAGAATATATACATATATGGAGAGAAAGAGATGGGGCCATTTATTGTAATAACTTATAGAATGCAGTTCAGCTAATTCAACCATGGCTGCCTATGAACCAAACATCTATGAATCCAGTAGTTGCTCAATCCATAATGCTAGATGTCTCAGCTGATCTTCAGTAGATGCCGGAATCCAAAAGTAGTAGACAATGATACCCGTAAAGGATTGGATTTGTTAGCTAGGTGAGGACAAGTAGGCAAAGAGTAAAAGCTTCCTTCTTCCATGTCCTCATATAAACTTCCAGCAGTAAGTGCAGCTCTGATTAAAGGTGTGTTTTCCGGCCCAAGATCCAGATTAAAGACCTCCCTTCCCACCTCAAAGATTTGGATTAGAATGGATCTTCCTACTTCAACAAAACTGGTGGGCCCTCCATTTTTTTTTTTTTTTTATTTTAGTTAGTTCCAGACATACTCAAGTTGACAACCAAGAATAGCCACCACAGCCCTATCCCCCTGCCTCTCTTCATTTCTATGGAGAGGTTCACACATAAACTCTCTAGCAGTGCTTTCCAAAAGCACCTGAGGTGCAGCCCCCTAAGGTGGATGCCCAGACCTAGCATCCTTGAAGACTCTGTCCACTTGATAGGAGACTGGCAGCCCTGTGGGATACTCACTGATGGACAGCAGCACACCTCAGGGTGCACACATCTCTCCCAGGACCTGCACCTGCACATCCTGTTGTCCTCATCAGGAGGCACTTAGTGAGCTCCAGTCTCAAGGGATGTATGGAATCTTGGATTAAGACTTTTGGAAACAACAGCTGGACAAAACAGCCCTACAGACTACAGCTAGGATATCTGAATCTTCTTCGAATCCCCCAAGACAGCGCCCCTTACCAGCAGGAAGTAGTTTGGAAAGAACGACGCCCAAATTCCCAAATATTGTGTATAAATGTTTGTTTTCATTTAATTGGACTTTGTTATATAAAATTAAATAAAAAAATTATATATATAAAAAAAGACTTTTGGAAACACAGGTACAGCGGGAGTCAGCAATCATTGGTGGCAATGACAGATAATGACAATGACCTTTTTACTTTTTAAAATATGTGGCAATATGCTTATGTCTGATACTTGAATGTAGTTTGTACGCTTGCTTTTTATATGGATATTCTTCATTTTATTTACATTTTCATCTATGGCACTATTCAATTTTAACTTCTTGATGTGCTGGCCATGGCAGACACCTTCAGCACAAGTAGCAGAAAAGGCTAGGAGATGAAAATCATGAGTTCAAGAGCAGCCTAGACAACTGAGTGCAATCCCATCATAAAATTAGATTACAATACACTAAATTGGTAGGGAATATTGTCCATTTATTCTGGATTCTGTCCCATATATATGAAACTATAGTTACTGGACAAAGCTTGAAGCAGGAGAGGTGACCTTCCTCAGAGAAGACACCAAAAAAAAAAAAAAAAAAAAAAATGATGTTCCTGTGACAAAAGGTCAGCCCTGCAAACATACATACAGGTAGCATTAGGGGCTGAGTGGTTTATGTTTAGGAATATAAATAAATACATATGTCCATGCAATAACAATTAGCTTGGAAAGAAAATACGACACCGCGAATCTGAAAGAGCAGGGAGAGGTATATGGGAGAGTTTGGAGGGGGAAATGAAAGGAAGAAATATAAGTTATAATCCCAAAATAAATAAATAAGGACAATTTTCTTGTTCTCAATGGTCATTTCTGAACCACACATTCCTTAATTTATTGCTATCTCCGTAGTTCTATTACTCCCTTCCTAAGTGTTTATACTTTTCATTGAGTGTTCTTTCTTTGTATGGTATTCTTCAAGTGCTCAGCTCGGATAGTGACATCACCTAACCCAATTACAGATTTCACCACTGAGCCTCTCTGTCTCTGTCTCTTTCTGTGTCACTGTCTTTGTCTGTCTCACACCCCACATGCTTTATATCTTTGCACTTGGGGAGAGATGGACTTTCAGTTTCCATGCTGTTGCCAACCTTCTTCTTTCCTGACAGCTGTGCAACTCTACAGAAAACAGTGCTGAATAGAACATCGTGGCAGAGATTCAGGTCATCACAGTACAGTGGGAGAGATGCTGGGAGAGGCATTGCATGAAGAGTAGGCATAGATGTGCCAGGTATCATCAGAAGGAGGACAAATAATGATGCTGCCCATGATGGTAAGAATATATGGCAATGACTATTCACAAGTGGTAGCAGAGTCTCTCCAGTAAGGATGTTGCCTGGGAATATGGTACTAGTCTCTGTAGCCAGCAGGCTGTACCTTCACCAACAGTGATAACCAGACTGGTTTGGATGAGAGGAAGTATGTTTTACATGGACCTTGATTACTGCCAGATGTCTGGTATTTATATGAACTCCCTTAAGCTAAATCCAGAGAAAAGTAAAATCAGGTTATTCACATGATCATAAGGATTCTGACCATGCAAACTTGTTTTCAGTCATAGTCATATAAACACAAGTTGTCCAAACTTGCTCTTTCCAGACCTTGATCTTCTTGTTATTGACTACAGACACATATTGCATCAGACACCTGACTACCATCATCAAAACAAGATATAATAAACACACTGCTTGAAGCTCTGCACTTTGGAGAGGAAGAAATGAGAGCATCACTAAATAAAGGGGTTGTGGGGGAAAAAAATCTGTGAAGGTCCAGAATCACCCAGGGTGACTGGAAAATAGAGAGACACTCTCCAGTCTGTTAGATAAATGATGAAAATAAATGAAGGCCAGCGGAAGATGACTACTGCCACTCTGGAACAACTGACTGCTTCGTGTTGTAAAAGTGGATGTCTTACCAAAGACATAACAGCTTCAGAAGCTTACTTTAGGATTTCAGTGTCATCGACAGCACATGACTGACATGGGACCTTGGCTGAGTTGGATTGCCCTCTTTAACATGAGTTGAAACAAACCTATCATCTTCAACCTAAGTCCTTTCAGTACTGGAGACTGCTAACTACAGGATATATAAATACTTATCAGTCTGTTAGCACTAATGACCATGAAGAGAGAAACTCAGCTTCATTCTAACTGTGACCACGGGCATCTTCACATCTGCTCTCTTGTATGACCAGGCCTTGTTCTCTTCCTCTATACCTCATATGACTGCAGTTGAGCCACTAACAGGGACAACAATAAACTCCAGGGAAGTCAAAGCTGCTATCCAAGAAGAAACAGAGACAAGCAGGAGTGGCCATGCTACTGGGAAAAACTACAGTAACAACAAAGCAACAGCTGAAGTCTCACCATGTGCCAGACACTAGTTGTAACACTTTACACAGGGTGGTATTGTAAGTCCCACAACCTATGAATGTATAATGCTGTTATCCCTAGAGCAGATGTTCAGGGAAGAGCTAAGAAACAGAAAGTACCTTCTCTACTGCAAGTATACAGAAGAGAAATTCTGTCTATAGGGCCTAGAAATTGACACTAAAATGGCAGTCATCTAACAATCACTAACTTATTTTAATTAGATGGTATATGAAGGAATAATTTTTTATTATTTCTTTTCTTATTTTACATATCTATCCCAGTTCCCTCTCCTTCCCTCTCTCTCTCCCTCCTTCCCATACCTCCGACTATCCTCCCATTCCCCCCTCCATTCCACAGGGAGGGTGATGCCTTCTAGGAGGGATCAACAAAATCTGTCAAGTTATTTGGAGTAGGGACTAGGCCCTCCCTCCTGCCTCTAGGTTAGGGCAATATCCCACCAAGGGGAATGTGCTCTCAAAGGCCTTTCGTGCACTAGGGATACATCCTGGTTCCACTGTCAGAGGTCCCTTAGACTACCCAGGCCATGAAGGAATAATTTTAAATAGCATGAATGCATGAAAAATGTCAACAGCTCAGTCCTACAATTATTTTCATATGAATCAAGGAAGAACTTAGATGTAGATGGTGAGAGGAAGGGAAAGAGACTAGTCCCACTCCCAGAAAGGTGGGAATCTTGCCTCCTGCTTCCCCAAGAACAACATCATTTTGCCTCAGCACTGGGAGTCTGTTCAGCTCCATCTTATATTTCCAGAGAAGAGGAGAGGTTGGATCACATGAACCTGTCCTGAGTCTCCACAGTGGAGGGTCCATGGCTGTCAGGATGCTTGGGAAAGAGTATCTGGGATTCTCTGGTCTGGAGCCTGTCCTGTTGAAGGAGACAAGAGGAAACCCCAAATCTGACCATGCTGCTCTGCCCCTGGAGACTAGGGAGAACCTGGCACTCTTGACACAATTGACCTGATAACAAACACAGACAAGGGAATGGATTCCATTGGCTGTTGGAAAAAAAGTACAAAACTTCTGCCTTAAAGTATGTGCTTCAAGACAAGGAATGTAGTTCAGTGTGTAGCCTGGGTGAGGCCCAAGGTTCGGTCCCCAGCAAAAATGAGAAGACAGGGGACAAAGACAGAAAGTTCTTGTATTTATTTTTATTACAATAAGAACAACTGAAGCATATAAAACAGGACAAAACTTCAGCAAGACAATCTCTACATTATATTCCTTTTATTCATCTCTTCTGTTTCACTCTCCCTTTCACTTTGCAGAATAACAACACCTCATGAGTTTCCAATTAACATAACAAAGAATGAGGGTAGTGAGGGTTGTGGAGCACCAGGGTCAGTGCAGCAGGACCCAGCAGGCCAGGGTACTGGGCAACAAGTATTGGCACAGGTCTGCCTTGGCCTTGGAGAAACATGTATGTGGTCCTGGCATTCAGGGTGCCCTGTGGATACAACGGCACAGGACTCTAGAGACAAGGCATCTGTTATGGACAAGTCACCACAGGCAGCTCCGAGTCCCCAACCACGAAGTTCCAGTGCAGAGAACAGTAAGAGGATGCAGTGCTGGACAGCAGGACAGCAGGACAAGGGGGTGATGCGACTAATATTTAGACACAGATCACAGAGCTGACATAGGCTGCCTGGTGGTGAAGCAGGCAACCTACATGCTTAAATAGGGGGAGAATTCACATATGTACAGGTGGATATGTGAGCAGAGAAATAGAGAACACCCTACCTGGGCTGTGGATGAGCACTGGAAACTGCCAGACAAACCACAGGTGCCTGTGCACCAAGCAGAAGGGCAGATGACTAGGGATACAGATGTAGGACAAGAACCAGCCCATTACCTCGCCTGGCTGAGAAGACAAGTGCCCAGGAGGGAAGATTCAGGACCATACATAATTAACTTGGGGGACAGTGGTGGGTGCCACCAGGAGAAGATATGGTCATCCCAATCTGGGAAATGAACAAGGTAAAACTTTGAAATGAGAGAACAGATGCCAGTCCAGGGTAGGAGCTAAGAACAGACACCCAGCAGGAGGCAGAGCATCCTCAGATGGGACTGGGCACTCCCTCAGTGCTTAAAGTGAGGCCACGTCTTAATAATGTTATACAATGCCTGTCCAGGGGACAGAGTATTGGACACATCACTGTGACCCATTAGCAGGTAGTCAGGAGTCAGATACCCCTTGTCCACAGCACACTGGATCAGGTCCTGGGCTGCTTCCAGTGCAGCTTCATTGGGTGAGGAACCTGCAAAACACAGCCAGACCACTGTTTGTAGGATCCTAGGGTGCCCAGCCCAGGCCAGAACATGGTCTAAAAGACACCCAGCCCACCACTAAACTAGCATATTTGACTGTTGGCAGTCACTCTTCAGAAAGACAGAATGCCAGATCAAGATTCCATATGTCTCCGCCCCAGAGTTTTTCTGACTCTGAATTGCTGGTCCTGGAATTATAAATACAGATCTGAAGAACTCTGAAGGTTTTCCTACTGCAGAAAGGTGTCCTGATAGTTCTCTGGTGAGGACATTTTAGTCCCTTAAGGAGCATTTGGCAATGCCTAGACATATTCTTGGTTGACAAATCTGAAGAAGAAAGGACACTTACTTCTGAGCTGGGAGAAGGGATGACAGTGCCAGCCACCCTCCAAAGCACAGATGGGTCTGTGACAATGAGTTACCTCCTCCAGAATGTCAGAGCGGTGAGGCTTACAGGCCTTCCCCACAATTCGGTACTCAGCATCTTCTTGCCTGCCCTTACTGCCCATCTAATGCTCATTTTTAAACCAGCCAGAATGAGTAGCAGTGACAATACCTCACCTTTCCAGAGATTCAACAACAGTACCCTAGCTCTAGGTCAGGAGCTCTGAGTACAGTCAAGGTAAATCCCCAAATACCAGCCTTATGTGTAAAAGGCTGAGCCATCTAGAGCTGTTACAATGAGAACCAAAATAGGACAGGTTACAAAGAGGAACTCAAATTACTCACAAAGGCATTCATTCTTCCCTTGCTTCACTCATTCATTGTAGCAGAGAAAGGGTGGATGGAGGGAAGAGGTAAGGGAGGGATGGAGGGAGGGAAGGAGGGAGAAAGGGGGAGGGAGGGAGGAAGGGAGGGAGGGAGAAAGGGGGAGGGAGGGAGGAAGGGAGGGAGGGAGAAAGGGGGAGGGAGGGAGGAAGGGAGGGAGGGAGGGAGGGAGAGGGAGGGAGGGAAAGAGGAGAGAGATTTGTCTGTGTGCAATTTTAGAGTACCTATTCTCTCTGGGATCTGAGCTTCACCTCCAGCCACACTCATATAAATACAAAGCTTCAGTATATGATGCTGTAAATGATGCCTGAGTCTGATGTCTTTCTTGTCCAAATCAGACACTGTCCCCAAACATCACACGAGGATCATAACTACCCAAAGCTTCCACTTACCCGTGAAGATGCCCATGAAGGTGATGCTCAAAGCAATGTCATTGTATCCATCTGTGTGGGAGCCTTGGCTATTCCAGCCCACTCCTTCATAAACACCACCATCCTGGCCCACGAGGAAGCTGGAGGAGGAAGCCCACGGGAGAGATGGAGATTAGCAAGAAAGAGAAGCATTTTGGGATTGACACTCACCTTCCTTCATCAGTTCAGTCATTTCTTTTTTATTAATTTTTATTAATTATTTTACATACTACTACCAGTTCCCTCTCCCTCCCATCCTCCTATTCCTCCCACCATCTCCCCATCCCAATCCCCATGCACTCCCCAGAGTTGGCGAGGCCTCCTATGGGGGGGTCATCAAAGTCTGTCACATCATTTGGGGCAGGGCCTAGACCCTCCCCCATGTATCTCGGCTGAGAGAGTGTCCCTCCATAGGGAATGGACTCCCAAAGCCCATTAATGCACTAGAGATAAATACTGGTTCCACTGCCAGAGGCCCCATAGACTGCCTAAGCCCCCCAACTGACACCCACGTTCAAAGGACCTGGTCCAGTTCTATGCTGGTTCCCCAGCTGTCACACTGGAGTTCATGAGCTCCCACTTGCTCAGGTCAGCTGTTTCTATGGATTTCCCCAGCATCATCTTGACCCCTTTGCTTATCACTCCTCCCTCTCTGCAACTGGATTCCAAGAGTTAGCTCAGTGCTTAGCTGTGGGTGTCTGCTTCTGCTTCCATCAGCTACTGGGTGAAGGCTCTAGGATGGCATATAAGGTAGTCATCAATCTCATTATAGGGGAAGGGCATTTAAGGTAGCCTCTCCACTATTGCTTACATTCTTAGTTGGGGTCATTCTTATGGATCACTGGCGATTTCCCTAGTGCCAGGTTTCTCATTAAGCCTGTAACAGCTCCCTCTATCAAGGTATTGTTCTTTACTATAAGGCCAAGTTACAGAACAAGAAAGAGTCTTTTGTGAGTGGTATGCTAACGAAAGCATCTAGAGGAGTGGGGCTCTAGAGGGACCCAGACTTAAAACATTTACAGATTTCCACGGGGGTAACCTGTCACAGTAGCTGCTTTTAGAACATAAGCGACTTGGCCACTCACCCCCCTGGTTTCCCAAATGTCTAACCACTAGTTTCCATGAAGTTGAACCTGTCGACCTTTCTTCATTCTCCAGACACCCTCTTCTCTTGACTTTCTCTGTGTGATGGTCCACTCACCCTCATGTCTAAAAGATTGGCCTCTGTGCTCACTCTCCTCAAGTGTGTGCTCCTCGAGTGTGTACTTCTTGGGGTGCATCCTATGCCTCTTCCTCCTGATTCTTCACACTCTCAGAATTAACCTATCCGTTTCCATGACTTCTTCAATATCCATGAAAATGCACAACCCACAGTTGGAGCCACCTCCCACCTGCTCTTCTCTGGGATAGCACTGCAGAAAACATTACCATCCCCTGGCTCCAATCCCAGGCCTCAGCCCACTTGCTCCATCCACTTGCCAGCCAAGACTTGTTGGTATCTCCCAGACACCTCCCTGACATAGTCCTGCGCCTTAGTCATTAGTCACTCATTTTCACGAACTCTTAAGTGCCTCCACATCTCCCTGTGACATATGTACACTTTTACCCCTGTCAACATCTTGTCTTGCCTGAATTGCCACATCATCAAATCTCACTGCCTTTGGCTTCACCCTCATTAATCTGTTTCCAAGGCATCATCCCAGGCATTTTTCTAAAGTACAAATCTTACCGTGTAATATCCTGCACTCAGACTTTTGCACAGAACCCAGACTCCCCAGTTAAAGATACATCATTCTTCAGGACATGGCTCTCCCGCCTCCCAACGTCACCTCTCACCACATCCAATATTGGCATTTATGTGATCATAAGCAACTTCCTCTGAGACACTATTCTTGCACAGGAATCCAGGCCTTTGCCTGCGTTTTGAAACACTCTTGATGCTTCCTCCTCTAGTTTGTGCCCACTCCCTTCTTGGACTCCAGCTACCAAGTTACTCTCTGAAAAAGGAGTTCTTCACTCTGGCTGCTGCTTCCTGCTCATCCTTCATGTGTCCTTCATAGGAATACTTGATTCACTTTGCTGAGACTTGCTTTGTAAGCTCCTTCCCCCTCACTGAAGTCTTAGCTCCAGGAGGGGAAGGGCCACCTGTGCTCCTGCCGGAAGCATCCCCAGAGCACAGCCTAGAGCTGTGATGTGGGAGAAGTGAGTGTTTGGTCAGACCCTCTCCAGAATGATGACAGGATGCACAATACAATTAGGAAGCCTGGGAAAAGGTAGCTGCCTTCTGGAGCCTGAGTAGGAAACAGAAACTTCCATCCTCAGTGTGAGATTTCCAGATTTGTATTTGGTATTGCATTGATAATTTGGTAATTGATAATTTGATAGTTGCACCTCCATTGCAGTTAAGAACACCATCAGACTTTCCTGAGTGGCGAAACCTAGCAATTTTCTGGTAGGTTCTTACAGATGACTAGACGTAATATTTTCTCCCATGTTTAAAGAGCTTCGTTAGAATGGAGACCAAGAAGAGAATCAGTGGCCTTAGTAGAATGAAGCAAGTGACAAATCCAACTGAGACAAGCACATTGCACACTGGTGCCGGCAGGAACAGCCAAGACTAAAATACAGTCCCAGAAGCTAATCCATGAATGTCCCTAAGATAGTGGCTCTTGAATTCCTGAAATCCAGTTGCAGAGAGGGAGGAGTGATAAGAAAAGGGGTCAAGACCAGGCTACAGAAACCCACAGAGACAGTTGACCTGAACAAGGGGGAGCTCATGGACCCCCAGACTGATAGCTGAGAAACCAACATTGGACCAACTCAGATCCCTGAACATGGGTCTCAGTTAGAAAGCCTGAGCAGTCTAAGGGACCTCTGAAAGTGGAACAAGGATGTATCCCCTGGTGCAATAAAGGACTTTGGGAGCACATTCCCCATGGAGAGATACTCCCTTAGCCTAGAGGCAGGAGGGAGGGCCTAGACCCTACTCCAAATGACTTGACAGATTTTGATGATCCCTCCTGGAAGGCATCACCCTCCCTGTGGAGTGGAGGAGGAATGGGATGGGATGGCGGTTGGGGGCATGGGAGGGAGGGAGAGGGAACTGGGATCAATATGTAAAATAAGAAAAATTATATATATGCATATATATATTAAAATAGTGACACTTTTTATTAGTACAAACACACCATATGAATCAGTGGTGGCTTATCCTTAGTTTGATTGTGATGAGAAATGAGCAAGGTATTCCTTCAAGCTCTAGAAACATCCTCTGGTGCCATTGCCTGCTTTGTGGGACATTTTGTTTTCTGTGTGGGCTAGTCTTAAGTTACTGCCTTTTAATATACGTATCCTTGACCAACAAAACTCAGTCATAGAATTTTGACATTCATTTTGATTATAATAAATGAGAGGGAATGAGGGAAGAAGATAGGAGGAGAAAAAGAAAAGTACAAAGAGAAAGACAGACACAGAAGGAGGATGAGGGAAGTAATGGAGGAGGAGGGAAAACTGTCCTTCCTCTAGGTAACACATTCACCCAGTCTCTCCATGCAGAAAAGTCTCTCTCTCCCTCTCTCTCTCTCTTTCTCTCCCTCCCTCCCTCCCTACCTCCTTCCCTCCCTCTCTCCCTCTTTCTCTGATTGTTCTGAGTCTTAGATGTGAAGGACCACCACAATAACACTGCAAGCCAAGCAGAGGGCGACGCCTGGGCCACAGTGTAATGAGAAGCGTTTGCATGGAAACAGTGGGTCTGGGGTGATCTCCTCCAAAGACTTCGGTCTCTCACACTGTGCCTTCCTCTAATATCTCTTCAGAAGCCTGGGAATCCACAATATCCATAGATTGCCTTTAGTAGACACACATTTTGAGGACATGCTTAGAGCTGTGACTGCCCCTTACCTGTCTCTTAAATAAGAGCACCCTAGAGCGGCTAAAAGCCAATGTAAGTACCTGTAGGTCATTCATGTGGTGAATACTCAGTCAAAATTAGCTCCCTTTCTCCTCCTGTTGAGAGATTCCCGTTCTCTGGCCAAAGGAAAACAGCCCCACCCATCCTTGGGATCACTTACTTATACCCAATGTCACACTCATTTAGCCTGTCCAAGAAGAAGGACTGGAGATCTCGGACCAGCAGGCGGCACTCATCCGGCTGGCTGCAGGTTCTCCCAGCAGAATGAAGGATGATGGCATACTTTGCAGGGAGAGTCATCTTGGAGCAGTGGGAGTTTCTTGCCCCCCAAGCAGACCGTGGGACAATGTGGGGGCAAGCTGTTGTGGGACAAAACAAGAAAAACAAATGATAACTCGTAAAGGATTCATTTTACCACACCGTGCCAACCACGTGACAACTGAAGGCTGCTGTGATCCTCAGCATGCTAAGATCTCCCAGCCAACCTCAAAGCCCCTCCCAGTTCTGACTGTGGTGCTCTGGAGTGAACTGATCCAAGCAGCAAACACAGACGCTTTATCCTGGAAGTATGCGTGATGGACACTTAAAATCCATAAGGTTCTGCCTGTATAAAGCAATCCTCAATGTGGATGCAAGGCAGCAACTTTGAGGTAGGGGGCAAGCTGACCCAGGGCTCATAAGGACAAGTTTCTTCAAACTTCATTAAGCCCAAGAAAAGGCCAATAGTTCTTTCTGGTTTTATCTCAAAAGCTTCAGGAAGTCCTTGATACTAATCAGGTTCACCAGGCCTTTCCTGGCCCCATGCACTCAAGCAGTAAGGAATACTGAGACTCTGAGACCAGCAGAGCCGCCTGGGAGAAGCTGACACTGGCTGGGCTGCCTGAAGAAGACACCCTTCCTTCAACTCGTTGAACTACCTGCAGATTGTACAATGAGTTCCAGCTGACAGAGTAGCCACTCAGGCTGGGGTGGACTTTTGATGATGAAGCTCTCATCCAAACTCCTGTAATTAACCCCAATAAAACTCACTGGTGATTCACCAGAAAAAGAAAAAGAAAGAAAAGTATTGGTTTGGGTCTAGAGATGTGGCTCAGGGGTTAAGAGCACCTGTTGCTCTTGCAGAGGACAAGGTTCCGTTGCCAACACTCACCGTTGCCAACATAATGGTTCATTGTCACCTGAAATTCCACTTCCAGAGGATCTGATGACCTCTTCTGTCTTCCCTGGGCACCAGGCTCACATATGGTACACACACACACACACACACACACACACACACACACACACACACAATGTATGTATATATGTTCATGCAAAACACTCATACACATCAAACAATAAAAATTTAAAAAATCTAAAAACACATTGATTTTGACGTTGCTGCTCGTTAAGCTGAAACAGCATCTGACTTGCCAGAACCAGCATTTTAGACAGCTGGTGACCACATGTGAGCAAAGCCTGAAGAGGTTGCTCCTTATGACGTTTAAGAATGCTACCATCCTAGTATGGAGGGCTAGAAAAACCAGAAAGGGAGAGGGTCTCACCTCTCTTCTGTCTCCCATTCTGGGGAGGGACCAGGCAGTTTTCGCTTTTCACAAGAAGTGGCTGGATGTACCTGGGTGACAAGTGGCCCTTCTTCACAGCATGGGAAATCAGGCCCTTCAGAGCTGACAGAGCAACAGGGCTGGGACTGTGGCCTGGAAGAGAGTGATTTATAAGGAGCCCTGTCTGACGTAGTATCAGGGTACAGTGGGAAGAAGCTGAGGTGCCCCCAACAAACCTATACAGCTGCTAGAGAAACAATGGGGAAAAGATCCTCCATCAAGTCAGAGGGGTGAGCATCAAGGACCTGTGATTACAGAGCTCTGAGTGGCTCAGGTTGAAGCCCTTCGCAATGCTGTGCCAAGATTTCAAATAGCCACACTGCCCGTTCACAAGAGAGATTCAGGGTAGCTCTGCCCAGGAAGCTCCCACTATCGTCTTTCTCAGCAAAAAAAAAAAAAAAAAAAAAAAAAAAAAACCCTGAATCAAACGCTGTTAGCCATCCCCTCCCTTGTTCTTGAAAAGCATTTGGAATCTAAAAAAAACACATGCTTCAAATCCCAAACCAACAAATAAATCCATAAATTAAACAGGAATTCTGTGGGTACCACCCTCCTATTGGAAATAAAAATTCAGGCTCCTTCTGACTTCTTTCTCACAGTGGGTCTCTTTAGGCTTCTCTGAAACTTGGGCTTCGTACTGCAGTAATGGGAAGGATGGAATCTCCCTGAACTATTCCAAAGGGTATTGAGTAGGAAATGAGAACTAGCTATACAAAATAGATTAACAGAGCTGGGCAGTGGTGGTACACACCCTTAATCCCAGCACTTAGGAGGTATAGGCAGGAGGATCTCTGTGAGTTCAAGGCCAGCCCAGTTTACAAAGTGATTTCCAGGACAGCCAGGACTGTTTCACAGAGAAACCCAGGTCCAAAAAAAAAAAAAAAAATTGATTTAATTAATTAAAAGTGTGTGTGTGTGTGTGTGTGTGTGTGTATCAGCTCACAGTCTGGCTTTTTATAACCTATTCCCCCAGCAGAGATGCCTCACCCAGCCTTGATGAAGGGGGAGGAGCTTTGTTGATTCCCCTAGAAGGCCTGCCCCTTTCTGAATAGAGGAGGAGTGGATGGGGGGGGGGGGAGAAGAGGGAGGGGAAACTATGGTTGGGATATAAAATAAGTGGAAAAAAGAAAGGAAGGAAGAAAAAAGAAAGGAAGGAAGGGAGAGAGAGAAAAATCAGCTCACAGACAGACCCTGTTAGAATGCAGGGTGCAGGAAACTGGGATCAACTGGCTTGGAAGAAAATGGAAGGCCGTCGGGGACTATGATGTCCCAAGAGTAGCCCGATACAAAACAAAGTTCATGGGTCCTGCCCTGCTTTGAGATTTTTGTTTCATTTTGTTTTGCTTAGACTGTTTTTTTTTTTTTTTTAAAGAGAGAGCATGAAGTTGGATAGGTAAGAACGTAGAGATATCAGGGAGGAGACGGAGGAGGGGGAAAACATGGTCAAAATATACAGTATGGGGAAAAACTTAATGCAATTAACTGCCCCTTGAGCAGATCTAGGAGACAAACCTGTGGCCATATTTCCTGAATGTGCTCAATGAGGTGGGATGAGCCACCCTAAATTCAGACAGCACCATTCCATGGGATGGAATCCTGGGCCAAACACAGGAAAGGATATGGTGAGCAGCAATGTCGCCCTCCTGTTCCTGACAGTGGATGTCACTTCATGCCCCTGACATGACGTCTCCCTTCACACTGTGAGCTTAGACCCTTCCTTCCTTAAGCTGGTTTCATCTGGTTTTTGGTCACAGCCACAAGAAAAATACCTACTACAGAGGCATCAAGGTAGTTTTGTTTTGTTTTATTTTTTTAATGAATAGAACATCTATAAGTGAAAGATGGACAGAGGAGACACCTGGCCTACAGCTACAGACCCGTCAGTACTAGAGAAAAGATATGATAGTCACTAACAGAGGCAAAGCCTAAAGAAGAACAGAGCAAGGACCTGGCAAATAGAAGCCTGGGGAGAAGAGGGGGGCTCACCTAGAGAAGCCTGGGGGTCTGAAGAAGAAGTGTGGCAGAGCTAGAGAAAGAACCCAGAGCAGAAGGAAGAAGGGCATCTCATTGTTTGTGCTGGAAACCAATAGAGAAGAAAACGTCAAGAGAAACTGGCTTTGTGGAGTTGCCTGCGAGGGCAGCAGAGCCTGGAGAGGAAGCAGCAGGAGCTCTCAGAAGGACAGTCATCTGGGGCTCCATTACCTTTCTGGGCACCAAAGAAGGCAATGCCTAAGGACATGTTGTTATAGGCTTGATCGTGTGAGCCTTGGACATTCCAGCCGACACCTTCGTATACTCTGCCATCATCACCAACCAGGAAACTATGGGCAGGGAAACACAAGTTAATGACTGGCGCTGACACACATTCCTGGGAGACAAAACTACCTCCCAGACTCAGAAGGAAGAAGAGCTCAGGGCAGGTTCACTAAAAAGTATCTGCATGGATTCTCTGAGAAAAGAGAAAGACCAAATCCTACATCCTCATCTTTACCATTGAAAAGGACCCACACCCACACTGCCTCCTCCCTTCCTTTCCCAGACACCTAGTTTGTACATAAATCATCCCAAAGACTGGGAAGAAAGGGAGACCTGGAACATCTGCAGGAAGTACAGTTGACCTAGACACACAATATTAGTCTCCACGGACTCCATACATCCCTAAAGAGGCTCTCCTACCTCCCGCAGAAGGCACACTGCCCACATAACCTCCACACAGGCTGCTCACTCGTTTCTCCCTGCCAGGTAACTTCCTACACACACAGCATGTGAAACACGAACATGGTGGCAGGCAATGTGTTTGGGGAGGGATCCCAGAAGCCAGAGAGATGGAGCAGAGAAACAAAAAAACAAAAACAAAAAGAAAATCCAACAGCCTATGCCCCTGAGCTAGCTTGAGAACAAACACACAGCACTGGACCCTGGCTTCCACTCACCCACCACATCCTTCTGAAAAGTTTAGAACCATCCTTCAGAAGGGCTTGGCTGATGAAGTTATCCACCAACTCCTGTCCCCCAGGGGCCATTAACTCCTCCGAATCACAGAGGCCTTGGAGAAAGCCTGATGTGGGAAAGTGGAGATGCTGTGGGTACTTAAAGCCAGAAGCCATTACTATAACCATGGCCAGACTGTTTGTTGACAACTAGTCAAAGTCAGACAGGAGTCTCCTAGATTGGCTGGTGAGATCATAGCTGGGATGGTTGCCCCAGTGAGATAAGAGCCCATACCTGCAATGCAGCGGAGACCTCCTGAGACAAAGGTAGGTCTGCTAGTTTAGGATAGGTGACTGTACTTCTCTGTGTCACTGAGGAAATCAAACAATCTCCCTACCTTGAGGAAATGGTGGTTCTTGTTCTGCCCAGATCAGTCTAGAGGATGTTCAGATGCACTTCAGGAATAAAAGAAAGGGTTCTGTATACTGTGTATTGATGGGGGTGTCCTTCTGCGTATCTGTTTCTCTTACTGGTTGATGAATAAAATACCGTGTGGATAGTGGCCAGACAGGAAGGATAAGCAGATCTACCAGAGGAGGAGAATTCTGAATAGTGTAGATGGAGAGGAGTAATGATATGAACCCGGGAAGAGAGGATGCACTGTAAGGCGTTCTCCAGTAAGCCAAGACCATGTGGATATACAAAGATTAGTTGAAATGTGTTAATAATTATGACAGAGCTAGCCAATAAGAAGCCCTACCCACTGGCCAACAGTTTTATAATTAATATAAGTCTTGTGTGTTCATTTGGGGGCTCAAGGGCATTGGGTCCCTACCAGGACAAAGAACCTCTCATTACAGTATGTGAGACAAACCAAGAGTTTCCAGGCACATTTAAAGGAGTAGTTATGTCTTATGTGTCTCAGAGGTGTGTACTTCCCAGAAAATTATATCAGAATTTCTTGAAGACTTCCGAATACTGTGTTTATTACAAAATAGATAGAACCACAGCCAAGAAAATGAGGAAAATAGGTGGAAAAAACTGTAAGAACCTTAACAGAGAGCTTTGGCCTCATGCCTGAAGATCCAGACCCAGCCACTTACTTGTAGGCCACATCACACCAGCTGTTGTGGATGTGATAGGCCTGCAGTTCCTGAAGCTTCTGACCACAGACAGTCTGGTTGTGACACTCTAGTCCAGGGACATGGTGTATGACAAGGACATTCACTGGCCTGCTCAGCTTAGATTGGCAGCCAATTGCTTTTGCTCCCCATTCCTCACGAGAGACCATGATGAAATTATCTGTGAGGAGATGGCATGTCAATCAGTGCATCCAACACTTGCCACCTGAGCTGCACATGTTAGTCTGAATTTTGTCTGCCTGGGGCTAGTAAAGGTGCCCTCAGAGAGCTATCAGCAGGTAGTCAGATCTCCCTGCTCATTTCCATGTGTGCACCTCGCAGACTCTCTCACTCAAGGCAGCTGAACTGGCCAAGGACTCTGGATATTTTGCTTCTCCATCTCAGGAATCCCCACCATAAATGCACTGCATTAGGAAATATGTCCATGCTGCTGCTTACCCCCATCCAGTCTTCATACCCTCATTGTGCACTCTCTGGCTATTTCCTCTGTGACTTCCACTCTCCTTAAGGGATCATATCTCCTCCTCAGACAGTCTTTCTCTGTCCTTCATTCTTCAACCTGCTGAACTCAGGGATCGGGTCTTTGCCCTTCACTCTTTGACCCATTGAACTCAGGGTTTGGATCTTTACCCTGTTTCTCCTCTTTGATATCATCCTAGAAAATGCACTTAAGCTGCTGGGCAGAGCCCCTCTACAATCGATGCTATCCACCCTGTCACAGCTGGCTGTGCAGACCTGAGATGCATTTCTGACCACATGAGAACCTGGAAAGTTCGCTAAGCCTCCTCACCATCTCTGCTCAGTTTGCCTTTCTCCAGAAACTGGGAGATGTTGCCAAGCAGTTGCTGCAGCCCCTCTGACATCTGTTGATTTTGCATTTTTTCCCAGGAGGAAGCACCTGCAAAAGAACATTCCTGTTTTCATCTGTCTTCAAAGAGTTCCAAAACCCTTTGATAATAATGGGATAGCAGAGCTCCAGCCAGAAACAGCTGGCCCTCTCCACTGCCTCTCTGTCTCCCTGAGTCTCCTCCTCCAAAAAGCCCCTCTGGGCCAGCCAGGAAACAACTTCTACTAAGTGATAGCATGGTCTTCTCTAATACTCTTCAGGTAATCCCCCAGGATGACAGTACATTGCTACAGGTAGGGAGTCAGGCATATTGAACAATTTTATGAACCATATCTAAATATGCAATTGGCAAAAACACCCGGGAAATGTATTTGGGCACCTCAAAACCCCAATGGTCTCTTTTGTGTACATTTTGTGTATTAGATGCAATAAGAATAAATAGTTAGATAATTGCCTTTTGTGAGTCAGGCCAGTTCCTGCTCAGTGCTGGGGCATCAGTCAACCCCATGCCCCCACTTGAAGGACTGTGAGGACGTCACCGGGCACTGGTTTACATTATTGCTCAAAAGGAACATAGTTTTGTTGACAGGCACAAATCTAAGTTAGCTAAAATGGTGGTTGGCATATTATTGACACAGATATAACCATTGATCCCTCTTATTGGTTCTTACTGGCAAGTGCTAAGTCAGTCATGTGTATTACTTCACTGAATCCTCTATTTAAGAGGGAAGCAACCTTTTCTCGGTCTTCAGATGGAAAAACTTAAGATTTAAAGAATTTAACCATTTATTGCAAACTATTAATTAGGGCAGCCTCAGGTCTATAGATGCCATAAAGCTCTTCTTACATACCAGGGAAGAGCATGCATTTAGTCCAGAGAAAAAAAACTTACCCCATACTGGGAGAACCAGGGTAGAGATGATAAGAAGCCAGGGAAGCATCCTCGGTAGGTCCCAGGACATTGACACAAAGGATGAGCAGCAACCCTAGGAGAGACACTGACAGTTGACATGACTATGCCAGCTGCCAATGACATGCCACCTGTCTACCTACTGGCTTTCAGTGGGCCTCCTGAGGGATAGCACCTAGCTGTGGCTCCTCTGAGTGCCATGTACACAGCTGGTGCACAATATCGTAGAACAGACACCTAGCAACTCTATTTACTCCTGCCTACTGTGTGTGGTTTATTTAGATACTTGCCAGTAAGTCTTAAATATTCTCCCCACCCCTGCATTCTGTATAAACAGGAACAAAATCTAAAACTTGCCTATGAAACTCAAACTCCCATGGAGAGGTGTAATGCAGACATTCCCTTTCTAGCTAGGGATAAGAGCATTGAGGTACATGGGATGTAGGAGTAGGAAGAGACTGAATCTGGCTGTGGGGCAGAGGACACTTGACTTTATGACTGGTTTGGTAGAGTCTAGTCCCTTCTGGAGATGGTTTAAAGATCTCACTCAAACATAAACAACTGAAACTGGGGGATGGCTCCGTTGCTAAAGTGTTTGCCATGCAAGAACATAGGAGTCTGAAATCTCCAGCAGCAGTGTCAAATATATATGTTGAGTGTGAGTGTGGCTGGGCAAGTGTGTAATTCCAGTACTGGGAGGTGGAGCCAGGCAGATCCCTGGAGCTCACTGTGCTTCCAGCCTTGCCAAATCCATGAGCTCATCCACTAGGAGACCCTGTCTCATAAAGTAAGGTGGAAAGCAGTTGTTGTCAAAGACCCAACATGGAGCCCTAATTTCCACGTGCATACACACAGGTATACTCACAGGACATGTGCACAAGCACACACACAAGAAGGGGAGGCGAGGGAGAGAGGGTACACATACTATCTACACACCACCATGTTCTCACACTGCGCAAAGTAGAATTACCTGGGCACCCTGTGCTATTCCAGCCCAGCAGATCAGAGTACAGCCAGCTCACCACACGTTGTCGCGTGGTTCCCTCCTCCAGCCGTGGTTCCCAGGTCTTGTACCTCCTCTAGCAGGTGTCTCTTCCTGCTTTCCCTGGCTCTAGAGAGCACCCAGTCCCTAAGAATGGAGCACTCGGGCTCTTGCTTCCTCAAAACAGGAAGCGAGGGACCCCCAAAAAAGATGGAGGCCAGAGGCCAGAGACTGAGTCAACTCAGTTCAGAGCTCCAAAAGAAACTCAGGTGAGACCAGATGGGTTGAGACTACAGAGAACCGCCCTGTGAATAATCCCAGCTTCCTCCTCCCTGGGAAAGGGCCCAATTGCCACATCCTCCTTGACCTCTTTCTTCATCTCAGCCTTCCATAGGCCCAACCAACTGGGGCCTGCTTGCATAGAAGCTGTTTCTGACATCAATGAACTCCTTGCCAGTAGCAATCTGCTCCACAGTTCTGAAGGCTATCGATTAAAGTCTCCAGACACCTTCCTACCAAGGTCACCAACAGAGGCAGGATGGGAGGAAAGAGAAATAAAAAGCCACCTTTCCAGGAGGAAGTCCACTGTGCCTAATTCTGACCCTGTGCCTGTGTATGCATCACCTGCCCTCCCGCTACACCCACCATCAAATCACTATGACAGTCCTCACCCACTTCTGGCCCGGGGCCTCATTAAGTCATCTCTGAGCAGGTTTCAAGGTCTGAAGCCTGGTCATTCAGAGCCGTGGATCCTCACAGAGGAAGTTCCACATGACAGTGAGACTTTGGCATCTTCACAGGGGATACACAGCCTCTCAACTCCCAGCAGGCAGGCCAGTCTTCAAAGACCCTTCAGGAAATGGCCTTATGCAGAAAGATTGTCCTATGAAAAACTTCCTGGAAAGTGTCACAGTAGCACTGAAGGCCCACCAAGGAAAAGCTGTTGCCTCCTAGAAGAAAAGAATAGTGTTCAAAGTGGAGACATGCCATTGTATCCTACACTTAAGAGTCAATCCAGTCGGGCAGATCAATCACCCCTCACAAAAGCGGGTTCACCTTAAGCTATGCTAAGGAGACAGCAGGGACCATTATGCCCTTAGTGAGATAGCACCCTGTCCTTCCCAGATGATCTGCCCCCTAGTGCAATTCCATACAAGCTGCCATCAGGCTGTTAATTTTGCCTTCTTGACTCAGAGAAGCACAGCTTTTCCTTTCTCTTCTTTATTGTCTCTTTTATTAGGATGTTGGTTGAAGCCTAATTATGCTTTCTACAGTATTTTGGGCCTTTGTACTCTTTCCCTAATGTTCCCGTCTCTACCATGCGGCTGCTTGTCCACCATGTTGCTTAGCTCCATATTAACTTAGCTCATGGATTTTTCTTTTCTCTGCTTGATCTTCCTCCTCTGAGCAGCTGCCAATATTTATAGCTTGTCTGTCCTGGATTTTTTCTTTTAAACTCTGTATAAAATTGCCACTGCTTGCCCTGTTGAGTCCATACTAGAATTATGGGGTTTTTTTGTTTGTTTGTTTGTTTTTTTGGTTGGTTGGTTGGTTGGTTGGTTGGTTGGTTTTTTTGAGATGGGGTGTCTACATAGCTTTGGAGCCTGTCCTGTAACTCTCTCTGTAGAGCAAGCTGGCCTCAAACTCACAAAGATCTGTCTCTGCCTCCCGAGTGCTGGGATCAAAGGCACCACCATCCGGCTAGAATTACATTTTTAATGAGGCTGAAAGTCACAAGAGGGACCTCTACTTCCCTGGTAACAAAGGGGCCCCTTGCTTATGTGCCAGGTTCACTTCACTGCCCTTCCATAGGCATGCACTCAGGCCCAGGATTGAGCCATTCAGTGAGTAGAGTACTGAGCTCAGCCAGGGCCAGGGTGAATAGGTCAGAGCCTGAAACTAAGGCAATGTAGCTCAAGAATTCCAATATGGTGGATCTGTAATGCTGGAAACACTGTTTTACAGTAGCTCAGAATGTGCATCCTAATCAGCAATAAAACCCTTAAAAATTAAGGCCTGACAACGTGCATTCAAGAGCACTGGGAGGAGTGAAGGGGTTTCTCTTGGCAGAAAACCAGGAGATAGAAAGCTCAAGAAGAAACTAAGCAATGGATGCCTTATAGTCAGGAAATGATCTCACCCTTCTAGATATCCACAAATATCTATGAGAGCATCAAGATGGAGGAACATGTGGTCAGGATTGACCCTGTGGGTTTACAGAGTCCCATCAACTCCCCTAATCCTCATCTCTCCCATGCCTCCATGAATCTGTCCTCTCCCACCACCACAGGACCCTTCTGGTGTTCTCCTACCTCTTTCATCACCGAAGAAGAAACTCTGCCTCATCGTGACTTCTTCCCAGAGGTCTACTCAACCCTAGTGTTGCCTCCAAGACCTTGCCTGTCTTTCACAGAGGTCATCACACATTGTAATCATAATTTCATGACAAAGCTTCCGAGCCTATCTCTTGCCCAGTCTTAGGACAGCAGAGCAAGCTTTAAAAGATGTGAAAGGAAGTCCAGGAAAGGAAAGCGAGCAGGCAGATGCCAGTCATGATTCAGGTAAGACAGCCCAAGGTAATGGTTCTCACAGATCACCTCAAGGAAACCTGGGCCTCCAAGTCCATTTGGGGGTTCATAAAGTCAAACCTGGGCCCCACTCAGCAGGAAGACCCCTGCAAACCAGTAAGACCCAGTTCCTCACCTTCCCCGGTTACTACTGGCCCTGAAAATACAAGGCAGTATGAAGTAGACCCAGCTCTGGGGAGGCAGGTAGGAGGCAGGGGTACCTGCTGGTCATGGGTCTGCACAGGATTGCCTTCAAACTCTTTACCCTAAGAATGTTTTTGATGGAACAAAGACAATTACTTGTTTTCTTAACTTTCAATCCTGGTTCTTGAAAGAAAACACCTTGGTCAATTTATGAGCTGAACCAGCCACATTTTTCATTCAACTGTTTTCTTCTCGAAAGGACAGAAAACTGGCAAATTGCATAATCCTCCTGTTTGACTTCATGACATACATTTCTTGAAAATGAACAACATGAGCTTTTAATTTCAAGGAAAACAATATAAAATTTGTCGGGATAGTGAAATTGATTCTCTCAAGCATAACCTAGCATTTGGGGGAGTTTCTGTTTG